AAAAACCTCGACTACTGAACCATTTCTCGAAAAATACAGTCAAACCTCGATAAACTAGCTACATGTTAAAATATGCAATATATTTCTGTTAGACGAGCCGATTGTTCGCAAAAATACATAAAAATTTCGATAATTGAATCATTTGTCATGAAACTATACCAGGATGTCGATAATTGAACCGCCTTTTTGGAAAATTTAGTGTGAAAAGCTCGATTAGTGCGCCATTTGTTGAATAATACAGTCAAACCTCAGAAATGCATAAAAACTTGGATTATTAGCCAATCGTTTAAAAAATTACAGTAGAACTTCAATAAGTGAAAAGTTTGTTAACAAAGTGCAGTAAAATCTTGATTATTAAACCACTCGTCATAGCAATTGTAGTAGAGTCTTAATAACTATTTGTTAAATATATAGTGGAGTAAGACTTTGATTAATATTTTTGTTTAGAAAAACAATGAAACCCTGATATACTAGATTATTCGAAAAATACAGTAAAACCTCAATAAATGAATCATTTTAAAAAAAGAAAAAATAATAATAAGAATAATAATAATAACAATCATAATAATAATAACAATAAAAATTATAATAAAAATAACGATTAAAATTATAATAATTAGTATAATTATTATTATTTTTAATTTTATTATTAGCAACGTCGTTATAATTACATATAGGCCTGCAAAATTCTATTTTTTATTTTTGAATTCGGAGTAGTTTCCAAAGTCTTCTTGACCAACGAAAAAAATCCCCAGTTTCAAAATTGCCTAATACTTTAGATTTTTAAATAAGTGGGGACCACTGAACCATTGAACCCCATGTCGGATACCAAAATTACCTATCATATTAGGATGTTGAGAAAATTAGGGGTAAAGACTTAAAATATAAAAAATTTTTGAAAAAAGTGGGGGTAAAGACCCTAAAAAAAATTTTGTTGTTGTTATTTTTGATGTTGGAGGGGTTTTTAATGTATTTTTGTCCTCTGAACACGATCCCAGATCTCAAAATTACCTATCGCTTTAGGATTATAAGAAAAGTAGGGGCAAAGACTCAAAACTAGAGTTTTTCGAAAAAAGTGGGGGTAAAGACCCTAAAAAATTTTTTTCTGATTATTTTTGTCATTAGAATGGTTTTCGATGTATTTTTGCGCTCTGAATACGATCCCAAGTCCCAAAATTAGCTGTCATGTCAGGATTTTAAGAAAAATGGGGGCACAGACCCAAAAAACTTGTTTTGTGTTAAATTTTAATTTAATCTAAAATTTTTTCTTATTAAATTTTCATTTTGGTAAATAAAATAAAAACTCGATGATCGTATACTGCATTCGTTAATTAAATATACAGAAAAAACCTGTTAAAATAATTTCAAAAATAAGTGTAATTTAAAAATTTTAAATTGTTTTAAAGTATATTAAAAATTTTTAAATTGTTTTAATGGGTTTTTAATGTATTTTTGTCCTCTGAACACGATCCCGGATCTCAAAATTACCTATCGCTTTAGGATTATAAGAAAAGTAGGGGCAAAGACTCAAAAATAGAGTTTTTCGAAAAAAGTGGGGGTAAAGACCCTAAAAAATTTTTTTCTGATTATTTTTGTCATTAGAATGGTTTTCGATGTATTTTTGCGCTCTGAATACGATCCCAAGTCCCAAAATTAGCTGTCATGTCAGGATTCTAAGAAAAATGGGGGCACAGACCCAAAAAACTTGTTTTGTGTTAAATTTTAATTTAATCTAAAATTTTTTCTTATTAAATTTTCATTTTGGTAAATAAAATAAAAACTCGATGATCGTATACTGCATTCGTTAATTAAATATACAGAAAAAACCTGTTAAAATAATTTCAAAAATAAGTGTAATTTAAAAATTTTAAATTGTTTTAAAGTATATTAAAAATTTTTAAATTGTTTTAATGGGTTTTTAATGTATTTTTGTCCTCTGAACACGATCCCGGATCTCAAAATTACCTATCGCTTTAGGATTATAAGAAAAGTAGGGGCAAAGACTCAAAAATAGAGTTTTTCGAAAAAAGTGGGGGTAAAGACCCTAAAAAATTTTTTTCTGATTATTTTTGTCATTAGAATGGTTTTCGATGTATTTTTGCGCTCTGAATACGATCCCAAGTCCCAAAATTAGCTGTCATGTCAGGATTCTAAGAAAAATGGGGGCACAGACCCAAAAAACTTGTTTTGTGTTAAATTTTAATTTAATCTAAAATTTTTTCTTATTAAATTTTCATTTTGGTAAATAAAATAAAAACTCGATGATCGTATACTGCATTCGTTAATTAAATATACAGAAAAAACCTGTTAAAATAATTTCAAAAATAAGTGTAATTTAAAAATTTTAAATTGTTTTAAAGTATATTAAAAATTTTTAAATTGTTTTAAAATTGTTTGATATTTTTAAATTGTTTTAAAATTGTTTAAAAATTTTAAATTGTAAAAATGGGCGTAAGTTTCCAGAGAGAGGGGTTGAGGGGAAAATTATTGTGAAAAAGAGGAAAATATTTAAAGGAAATTGCAGAGTATATATACTGTAGCCAGCATCTCCCCCCGGCGTTAGAAAGTGAGATCAATTCCTTGGTATCGTGGAGCGGAAGACGTTTATATTATTAAATCGTCCGTCTTCCAGTATCGATATAGGCGAGAATTTATCGAGCGATCGTAGAGAAATGAGCGAAAGAGAGAGGAAACGAAACGCACGGTTGGGTTTTTTAATACTCGGCTTTGGATTCTGCGTTGAGTCTTTATCTCTCTCTCTCTCTCGCTCTTTTGCTCTCTTTTTCTACTCTGTCTTTCATGAGATGTTGGTTCCGGTAGAATTTTTTTTTTCCCCTTCATCGATAGCTTTTGCAGAGTACACGGGAAACTCGACCAATGTGTAAACTCGACATGCAAGTGCCGCGCCGTTAACCGATATCTTCCATTCACTGTATGTAATGGCATATATATGTATATATATCTATATCTATACATATACACGTACGCGCTCTCCTCTCTCGTTCGGATAAAACCGATTTTTATCGGGGCAATCAGATCTGCGAAATTACTACTTCTTTCGGATACCGGGTTACGTCTCATGGAGGAAAGTAGTTTTGTAATTTACCTCGTTAGCTTCCCATTTTTCCCCTCCTTCTCTCTCTCTCTCTCTCTCTCTCCTTCTCTCTCTCTCTCTCTCTCTCTCTCTCTCTCTCTCTCTCTCTCTCTTTCAATACTTCATTACGCGAAAGTTCTGATAAAACGAAAGCCTCACCTTTTTTTAAATACTTTTTTCTTATTTGCTTCATTACGGACTCTAATTACTAATATGTTTCCAATAATTTACAAGTATTTAACACGCAGTCAAACGTATAAAAACGGCAGTTGAACAAAATTCACGGTACACAATGTTCATTAGGAGAAATGAAAAAATATTGATATTATTTTATTCATTGAGGGAAATAAAAATAAATATTTCAAGAAAAATACGAATTTAATTGCTGATGTGAATACGATTATATGATACTTGAATGAGAATAAGGAGTAATAGAATAATTCATTTTGGGAATTAAAAAAAAATATGATGATTCATAATTAGGGAATTAGTGTGTTTTTGAGGTATTTTATTTGAAATTAAATTTCTGATAATGATTGAATTGATTTTAATGAGATGGGGGTAGTAAAGAATATTTTTAAGTAGAGAATAAAATTTTTATTGCGAAGTAAGTCGGAGCATTTTTTAAAAATTATGCAGTAAAACCTCGATAATAGAACCTTTCTTAAAAATCATGCGGTGGAACCTCGATAATTGAACCATTTGTTTAAAATTATGCACTAAAACCTCGAGAATCGAACCATTCATTAAAAATCATGCTGTGAAACCTCGATAATCGAACTATTTGTTAAAAAATGCAGTAAAACCTCGGTTTTCCAACTATTTATTAAGAAGTACAATTAAAATCCCTGAGGGGCGACAAATCGATTAGAAAAATACAGTTGAATCTCGAAAAATAATCTATTCGTTAAAATGGCAACAAAACCTCGATAATCGAACCATTTATTAAAATCCATACAGTAAAACCTCGACAATCGAATCATTTATTAAGAAGTACGATTAATCCTTTAGGGACGAGGAAATTATCTAGAAAAATGTAGTTGAACCTCGATAAGATCTTCGAAAAGTAAACCCTTCAATTAAAAAAATACACTGGAACTTCTTTAATCGACCAAGTTTTTGAAGAATACACTAAATCGTCAATAGGCGAGTCAATTGTGCAGAAATATTTGGACCATTTGCTAACATAGAAAAAAAATTCTCCCAACTTCCTAATCTCTTAATTTTTCCTACAATAACTTTCCCTTTTTAAAAACAATGAGACGAAAAATTGCAAAGTTCCCCCCACCCCCCGAGATCTACTTTTTTAAGCAATATTCACTTTTTTCCTCTTCATTTATTTTTCTAGTGTCAAAACTTTCGTTAAAATTTCCGAACGATTTCTAATCGATCAATTATCGAGAGTCTCTTCCGCACTCTTAAAAGATTGGGCAGTGAATTGTTGATTGTTGCTCGATTCTTTAAATTCACTTTCTAGGTCGTAAAATTGACAAACACGGTTGTGTATTTCCTGCCGGAACGAATTGACCAAGCTCTTTTATGTTCTCATTTCTTTTTGTTATAATTCCCCCCCCCCACCCCACCCTCGCCCCCGCTCTTTTCATTTCTCGACAATATAAGTTTTGTATTCTTCTATTCGTTGCGGTGACTAGCGATATTGAAACCGCGAAAAAAAATTGACTATTACGACAGAGAAGAGATATGACGATGTCTCTCTCTCTCTCTCTGGTTTCAAAGAAACAATTTAACAGTACGAATTAATTTTTCTCTCATCTCCTTTGTTTTAATTTTTATTAAATTTATCTTCTTCATTTCATTGTTTTTTTTTTAATAGTTTGGATTTTAAGAAAATCCTTTTCTGACCAGTAGGAAATTTTTATTAGAAAACTTTCTTGTTTTTCTGCAGATATAAAAAAATTGAGACAAAGAAAATATCAAAAGTGTTGCGAAGCAACATTTTGATACGTTTTTTTGGCTCAATTTGATATCTGCAGAAAAACTGAATGTTGAGCGAAAAAATGGGGAAGTGCATCAATTGCTGCGGGTGTTTTAGTTACTGTGCTTTTTGAGCAGAAAATATTTGCAAGTAGAACGATATTATAATTACCGCAGTAATTGATACAGTTACCCAAAGAAAGAATGAAAAAAATGTAAGATATTTAATTGAGAAAAATGAAAGAATTTTCTGATTGTGACGAGGAGCTTCATGCTGATTGGATTATTGTATGTATGATTTTATCATCACTCGATTCAAATATAAAGAAAAGGATTATCATCTACCTAATCTAATCGGTCAGCGAATATGTCTAAACAATAATCGCTTTCAAAAATGGCAGAAACTGCTATTTATCGCACTTCCTCTTCTTCTTCGTCTTCTTAAAAAAAAAACAGGTACAGCCTTCAAAAGGTATCTCTGGCACCACCTTTCACCAAACTTCCGGCCTTGGAGCACCTCGTATTAGTCTTGAATTCCCTTCTCCACTCAAAAATATATATTTCACTTTATTTAAACATCTTCATTAGTTGTTGCTACATCCAAATATTATTCTTGCATCGGAAATTGTTGTCATCAATCGTTTAACATCATTTACAATAAATTTTCTTTGATCATTAATGGTTTGATATTAATTTGGTGTCTTTTTGGAGAATTGAAAGAAATGGATTTCAATTCGTTTGTTGATGTTGATCAATTTTTTTTCTTGAAACTTCTTGCTGTTCTGTAATCGGATCGTATTGATTTTACAAGTTGGTGCAATTACAGTTGACTACAGATTGGGGTGATATGTTTTGGGTGAAATCGGATGTATTGATTTTTTTTTGTCGTTGTGGGTAGGAAATTTTAAGAATTTTTGATTTCGATCAATTTCTTGCAGATGTTCTTTAATCGAATGGTATTAATTTTGCAGATTGTTGTTGATTGCAGTTTGGGTGCAATTCGGTGTATTGGTTTAATTATGTTGGTTTCTTTTTCTGTCGCTGTGTGTCTGACATTTTTAACAGTCGTTGGCTTTCATTATTTACGTTTTCATTATTATTCCTAATTAATGAATTGATCTGTTAGTTGTTACATTCATGATCTAGATGATTCTTCTTAATCCGTAGTTGTTTCATCAGAAAAGTATTGCGGAACTGCTTTCAAGTACTGCCTTTCAGAAATTATTGTTCATTCACGTTTTTTTTTTACTTTGATCCAGTATTTTTAGCATCTATTAATTTTTTGTTCTTGAAGATCTTTCCTAGTTTTGAATTCGGTGTTTTTATTGTCCATTAACTTCTGTTCTTGAAGATCTTTCCTTGTTTTCAATCCAGTATTTTTATTGTCCATTAATTTTTGTCAACATCTTCATGATCCATAAAATTGGTTCTTGTTGGTAGACCAAGTTGATGATGTCAAGGTCTTTATGTTCCACAAAATTGGTTTATTTCTGTGCATCATTTTTTTATTTAGTTGATGACGTCAAGATTTTCATGATCCACAAAATTCGTTCTGTTTTGTACACAATTCTTATCAGTTAGTTGATGTCATCATGATGCTGTGAATCATCTTCATGATTCAGAAAAATGGTTCTGAATTTGTAGCTAATGTTTATGATTTACTTCTTGATCTCAAGATCTTCATGATCCGTAAAATTGGTTCTGAATTTGTAGCCAATTTTTATCATTTAGTTCATGATCTCAAAATCTTCATGATCCACAAAATTGCACATCTAGACCTTCTACTCTTTCTGAATCAGTATCAACATTTTTGTTGTGGTGGGCACACTCCTTAATTTTTGCACATCATCTTATTATTCTCGACATCTATAAATTGCACAGCCAGATCAATATCATCCGTTAATTTTTCTACATCAAAATTTTTATCACTTATTTGATGACTGGATCTTGTACATTTTCTTCTTTACAAAATTGGTTACAAAATTGTTTACTGAATCTTTATGAACAGTTCTGTTGTATCCTCTCTCATCTCCTAATATCCATTTCATATCACCGATTAATTTCTTTCGTACCATTAATCTTTTAACATGAAGATTTAAAATACCGATAAATTTTCCGTTTATTCATGACTTCCATTATCAGTGATTTTTTCATTCCTTTTTTTTATTGTCCTTATTACTCTGTCTTACTCTTTGTTTAACTCTTTGTTTTACTCTTTGTATCCAATTGTACATTAATTTTCTTATTATTAATTTACATAATTTATCACTCATTGCTTTTGGGTAAACGATCCAATTTGTTTAATTGATTTTTCATTTGCTGAAAACGGCAAACTATGTTTAGGGGCAAGGGCATTAAATGCCTAAATTGAGGTTAAATTTCATCACCATGAATCAATTGAAATTAATTGATATCATCACAACCATTCATTTCCAATAATCGATAACTTCGTGTGACTTTTTTTGAGGGATGATCAGGTATTATTTCCGGGAGATAGGGGCGGTGAGGTGGTCTCCCTTTGCTCCTCGTGAACGCTTTCGGGTCTGCTTGCGCTGCTACTCGACCTTGAGCTTAAATTGTCCCTATCACTAAAATAGGAGGAGTCGCCTCTTTTTTCTTCCATTTGCAATTGTTGTTTATCATTGCGGAAATCCTCGCCACTTGGTCCCAGGAGACTTGGAAAATAGGGAATTCCCTGACGTTGGGATGTTATTTTACCCATGAAACTTCTTATCTCCTCGAAATATGAGTCATCAGTTCTTGGCAATTGTCCATGGTACCTCGATCTCACTTCGTCGAGTATCGTTGGTCCATCGGCGTCGTGCTTCTTGAGATGGCGATCGAGATTTGTCTGTTGGCCGAAGCATCGTTCGCAGAGGGGACATTTGAATGGTTTTTCCTTGTTGTGTATGTTCCTCACGTGACGTTGTAAATTACTGGAGATGCTGAATGACCTCTCGCAGTATTTACACTTGTATGGCTGTTCACCGGTGTGGGTCCTGAGATGTCGCGTGAGATTGGCGGATCTTGGAAAGACCTTGCCGCAAAATTTACATGAGTATCGATCCTTGGGCTTGAGACCCGTGGAGACGGCCATTGTGTATGGCGGTAGGGTGGAACTTTGTTGTGGTGGAGGTGCTGGTTGTTGTTGTTGTTGCTGTGGTGTTGTTTGCTGCGGCACTTGGGGTGGACTCGGTGCCCTTGCTGGTGCTTGGGACGTACTACCGGAAGTGACTGTGGAAAATCGATTTGGTGGCAGGGGGACCATTGTTGGTAGGGCGCGAACTTGAATTTTCGGTAGATCTGGCGTTGAATGATGATGAGATCTGTACATGGCCTCTAGAACGAGGGGATGAACGGCGTGATGCTGGGGAAAGAGAACGGTATGATAGGGAAGACCGAGGCTATTTTGATTCATGACCTCGACTTCATTTTGGTTCTCGTCTCGTATTCTCTCCTTTTTATGATCGACGCGAAGATCAAGTGGCTCGGAGTCGAGCTCGTGCTGATGGGGTAGTGGAGGTCTCGCTGCCGGACTCATGTGGGGCTGTTGATTGAGAGTGGGACTTGCTCGACTTTGGCCATGGCTTAGGTCGTATGGCAACTCTTCCACGTCCGAGACACGAACGCTCAATGGATAAATGCTCGCTTGTTTCGGACTCGTGTGTCCGGGCATTTTTCTTGGACTGGAGTCTTTCTCCCGCATGGCTGGTGGGTATTTGGGGTCGTGCAGCAGAGGGGACAGGGTGCTTCTGCCGAAGTATCCGCTCATCACACTGTCTCTGTCGCCCACGACCTTGGTCCACTCGATGTGGTCACCTGTAACCATAAAGAAAAGATCGTTTTTTACATTCTGTACAAGATTTCATAATTACAAATTGTTTAAAATCATAATTCCATTCTTTAAACTAGTTTGTGACTGATCGAAACTAGTTTAGGGCTGTCTACCTGTACAGATGCTTACTAAGTTCCCCCTTTTTAACCCAGCGGTCAATAAAGTGCTCATTATTACCCTAGGGCAATAAAGTGTACTTTATTGACAACTAGTTACTGATTTGAATTAATTGGAACTTGTTAATAGTGGTCCCAAACATATTGAAACATATTCAGTATTATTTAAAACTAGTTTGAACTGATTCAAACCAGTTAATTTTTGGTTTAAACTAGGTTAGAAACGGTTTGAACTCATCACAACCTGTTAACAATTATCTATAACTAGTTAAAACTTGTCTAATTTTGTTTAAACCTGTTAATACTGGTCCAGTTATGGTTAAAATTTTTTTATGGTTTGAATATGGTTCGAAACTAGTTCATATTTATTAAATCTGTTTAATAGAAATTAAAAATTGTTAATAATGGTCAAAATAAGGTGAGGATTGTTTAAAAAGTTTAAAACTGGTGAATAATGATAAAAATTGGTTAATGATGATCTAGTTATGGTTTCAACTTGTTAAATATGGTTTTATATGGTTTAATGTAGATTAAAACTAGTTTAAAAATGTTAATAACGGTTCAAAATAGGTTAGTTCCTTTTTAAACTAGTTTAAACTTGTTGATAATGGTTCAAAATAGTTCATTATGGTTCAAAATTAGTTTAAACTTAATACTGGTTGAAACAAGTTTATTATTGTTGAGAATTGGTAAATAATTATTTAAACTTGTAAATTCTGGTTCAGTAATGGTTTCAATTTGTTCAGAAAGGTTTAGAACTTATTAATTTTTGTTCAAACTATAGTTCAGGATTATTTTAAACTGTCAAATAATGATTGAAACTTATTTATACAGATTCAGTAATGGTTCAAAATAGTTTATTCGGGTTTAAAACTAAGTAAAAATTATTAATATTGGTTTAAACTAGTTCAGTTTGGTTTAAAACTTATAAATTTTGGTTTAAACTAGTTTAAAACTGGTAAATAATGATCAAAACTTATCGGTTAAAACAAGTTTAGTATGGTTCAAAACTAGTTCCAATTTTATTAATTTTGGTTCAAACTAGTTCAGAATAGTTTAAAGTTAGTTGAATCTTGTTAACATTGATTCAAACTAGTTGAGAATGGTTTAAAACTACTTTTTACTTTGTAATATTAATTTAAACTAGTTCAGTATTTTTTTTAAACTAGTAAATAAGGAACAAAACTTATTAATACTGATTCAGAACTAGTCGAAAACAATTTATTACTAGTTGAAAGTAGTTCATAAGTAATTTAAAACTGATTGGTTATAAAAATAAAATAAGATAAAAATCTAATTTTTAATTAAAACTAAAACTAAATTAGAGCTGAAAAAAGAGCTTGAAAGAAAGTATTTAAAAAAAGGTATTCAAAGAGCTACACATCTTATGTGCTCTCATATATCAGCGAGTATAATATAAAGGTAGATTATCTTAATGTGAAATCGATGTGTGTGGCATTGAAGTCTCCGCTCGTTTCTCACCCAAGCGTTGATGTCTCTGTAATTCTCTTTAATATCAGCATCATCTTATTTTAATACGGAAAAAAATTTTTCTTCCATTATCGAGACACTTATATTACTTAAATTTACATTATTTAAAAATTATTATTTATATTCATACTTTTAATCATATTTGTATTTAACGACAAATATTCTTTATTTATCGACAACATAAAATTTTAAAACTCCAATGAATATAAATATATATGTGATTTTTCTTTGGTGGGAACGTAGTAAAAAAACGTAGTTATGAAAATTTTGATTAAAATTTTAAATTATGGGTTAATAAAATTACAATTGACCTGATACAAATTAAAATTACGGTATACTTTTCACAATAGGTTTGTTGATTTTATTCGAGCCTAATTTTGTGTTATTTAATTTTTTTTAATATGGTTTTCTTTTTCGATTGATATGGTTTTTGGGATTAAAAATTGAAGAACCGTTTTTCTATTGACTGGAAGTAACGGAAGAAAAAAGAAAAAAAGGAGTATAGAGCGATGTAGAGTAAAAAGAAAAGTGATTTGGATCATTTTGATGATTAATGTAATAATCGACCTTGAAATTGATTTTAGGGCATTGGTGGTATATGTAGGAGAAAAAAGTGCGGATTATTTTCTCACGATTTGGGTTATTGTTATTATTATTTATTTTTTCGAAATCGAATTAGTAGATATAATTGGATGTATGGCACGTGTAATGGGCAATGATGTGCACTCATTGCATGATGGAGACTATCAATTTTTCAATTTACTGGTAATGTCGTCATATAATGAGGAGAAGGTAAAAACCTTGTTGTTGTTGTTGTTTTTTGCCCCCCTAACTTGTTATTCGAAATGGCCACTTTATCAAAAGTTGAAAGTCACCTGTCGTAAGGAGGATGAGCTTTTTTTTTAGTTTCTAGAGTATACATGTGGGTTATTAAAAACTGTTATATTTCGTCAGTTTGTTCGTTAAACAGCAGCGATAGAATATGTCTTGACTATTTTGTTTTATAACGTCCGCACGTTGAGAGTCAGCAATCCGTTTGCAGGAGTGGTCGTTGTACCGTTGCTCTCTGCTCCAGTTAGAGGATGCTGGATCTTCTCTCGCGTGTTACTGACTCTCTCTCTCTCTCTCGTTTTCTTTTTCTCTTTTATTTTTTTCCTATCTCTCTCCCTCTCTATCGTTTTCTATATCTCTTTCCATCTCTCTTTTTCTCTCTACTATAGCAGATGAAAGAGAAATTTTCTCTTCATCTCGGCAAAAAAAGGAAAGAAGAAAAAACAAAAAGAAAAAAAAAGATAGCATTGCGACCGTAAGAAATGCGAGCAGGCGATATTCTGGGCGCGGACACGCAACTCGCTTGATGGATTTTATTTATTGCCTGCCGAGACATAGTTGAAAATGAGAGAGACAAGTCTTCTTTTTTTTTTTTTTTATCGTGTCATTTTTCTTTCGTCACAGCTCGAGTGAAAAAACTACTGTTAGTGCGGGAATTTTTTGACATTTTTTTCTTTCGTTTTTTGGTCCCTTAATTTTATTATAAATTATTTATTATTAGGGAAGCAAATTATTTTCTTTTTTTATTTATTTAATTTTGTCTACTTTCTATTTTTTGTACTTGTTTTAACTTTCCTTATGTTTCTTGATTTTCTACTTTTTCTGCTTTTCTTCCTTTGTTCGTGGTTGTTTTACTTTTTATTTTCTAAACTTTTCCTTCTTTTTTACTGTGTTTACTTTTAGTTTGTTTTAATTTTCTCTCTTTCGTACTATGTTTGTCTTTAGTTTTTTTACTTTTCCTTCCTTTTTTTTTCCTTGTTCACTATTCCAACTTTTGCACTATGTTTACATTTTTTTTCAAATTTTCATACTTTTTTACTTTGTTAACTTTAATTTATTTTTACTTTTACCAATTTTTGTACTGTTTACATTTTTTTCAAATTTTTATACTTTTTTACTTTGTTAACTTTAATTTATTTTTATTTTTAGACCAATTTTTGCACTTTGTTTACATTTTGTTTTTTCCAAATTTTATTTTGTTTCGTTTTTTACTTTTTACTTTGTTAACTTTTAATTTTTCTCTAAAATTGAAAAATATTATATATGATTTTATCACTCGGTTGTTTTAAATATTTAATAAAATATTGAATTTAACGATCATTCCGAGGCTTTTTGGTTTTTCATTCTAATCTTGTTTACTTTTCTACTTTTTCAATTTTTTTACTACTGTTCACTTGGATTTTTTTGTACTTTTCCTACTTTTTTAGTGTTGTCTACTTTTCATATTTTTACAGTTTCTTATTTTTTCACTTTGTTTACTTTTAATTTTTTTTATTTTTATCTAGTTTACTTTTTTATTTTTAATGTCTTCTTCTCTTTGTTTTATTTATTGTTTACTTTCTTCTTTCTATTTTCATTTTGTTTACTTTTCCTTCTTTTTGTTGTTTTTTTACTTACATTATTGTTTACTTTTTCTACTTTTTACTATGTTTTTTTTTACTATGTCTTTTTTAATTTCTTCAATTTTTTTTACTTTACTTTTTTATTTGTGTTTCTTCTTTACACTTTAGTTTTTTACTATTTTTTGCTTTATTTTTTTTATTTTTTACTATTTCTTGCTTTTATTTTCTTTTTATTGTTTATTTTTCCTACTTTTTTATACTTTACTTTTTCTATATTTTCCTACTTTTTAATTTCTTTAATTTTTTAGTTACTTTTTACTTTTTTACTGTTGTCCTTTTTCTTTACAACTCATTTTTTACATTTCTTACTTTACTTTTTTATTTTTACTTTTTTTTGCTTTATTTTCTTTTTATTGTTTGCTTTTCCTTTCTTTTTCTACTCTTTCTTCTCTTTATTTTCTTTTTATTGTTTACTTTTCCTATTTTTTTTATCTTTTATTTTCTCTTCTCTTCATTTTTTTATTGCATATTTCTTAGTTTACTTTTTATTTTTACTTTTTTTCCTTTATTTTCCTTTTATTGTTTACTTTTTCTATTTTTTTATCTTTTACTTTCTCCTCTCTTCAATTTTTTTTATTGTACATTTCTTAGTTTATTTTTTAATTTTACTTTTTTTCCTTTATTTTATTTTTATTGTTTACTTTTCCTATTTTTTTTATCTTTTGCTTTCTCTTCTCTTCAATTTTTTTATTGTATATTTCTTAGTTTACTTTTCTTTTTTTACTTTTTTCCTTTATTTTCTTTTTATTGTTTGCTTTTCCTTCCTTTTTCTACTCTTTCTTTTCTTTATTTTCTTTTTATTGCTTCATTTTCCTATTTTTTTATCTTTAACTTTCTCTTCTCTTATTTTTCTTTTTATTGTATACTCTTCATTCCTTTTTCTACTTTTTCTTCTCTTTATTTTGTTTTTATTGTTTACTTTTC